CAAGGATGCCTATAATACCTGCTCCCATTTATTTTACACAGTGTGTTGGCATCTAGTAATAATATTGGAGAAAGCAAAAGTATAGCCACACCTTTGTTAGCATTTTAGCAATAATGAACCCTGAATAGTTTGCACTGATCGCATAGAGAACTTTTTTTTTTTTTTTTCATTTTTAATGAATGCAAGCACTTAGCTTTATCAGGTCAACACACAGTGATGGTCCTGTAACAGTACAGGGTCATTACTGTGGATTTGTAATTACTTCGAGTGCCAGACTTATATGGTATTTTTGAGACTGATACCAATTTAAGAGGGAAAAATTCACAGATTACCATTATGGCAGCCAATATAATCAATGTTTAAACTTGAATAAAAATAGACCTTCTCTATGTGGATTGTGCACTGATATTACTCTGCAAAAGTCCTCAGAAGGCTGCTTTATTGAACAGATAACTCTTAAGTTAAATACAATTTAGCAAGTTAAATAATTGAACATACAGTATATATTGTGAGTCTATTCTAGTTTGAATTGCTCAGAGCTTCTTCTTTTCTCTTACTCTGCTGTTTGCCACAGTATTTTAAATCTCAGCACACTCTGGATAAACTTTGCAGTGACACCAATTCACCACCACACAGCTGTGGCTCGGCGCGGTCCCCCAATTGGAAGTTGTTGGCTCGATCCCCCGGCTTCCCCCAAATTGCTCCTGATGCATGGCATCAGTGTGTGAATGTGTATGAATGAGTTAGTTTCTGTTCGATGGACTTTGCCGTGAATGTGTGTGAAAGGGTGAATGTGGCACGTAGTATAGAAAACGCTTTGAGTGGTCGGAAGACTAGAAAGGCGCTATACAAGTACAGGTCCATTTACCATTTCTTTTACCGGTGCAAATAAGAAGGATGTCTCCCACCACTAATCCACTTCCCATCCCAATAGCACAAAGACAATGATACTGACAATAATGTATAACAAATACAAAACAACAACACAGCAGTACCAAAATACACAGCAGAAAAACAAAACAAAAAAATGTAATGAAAATATATGTACACTTTAGGTAGTACTCCCAGCAATAAACCGTTTAGCTTGCAAGATACACGTATCTGTAGGTCTATAGTCCTTCTTCTTTAGTTTGAAGTTGAAAATGTAAATCAGAAATGGTCCGGTCCATCATCTTTTACAAGTTTTACTGGTGTTACGTATATACACAAGTCAGTTATATTGCAATAGTATTAAACAAGTATTTACAGCTGTATGTATGTATGTGCATAATCAAACTGGTTTCATTCTTTCATAATGAAGAACTACTCAAGTTTCAAGTTTCTTGCTGGACGTTGCATCTTATTGGTAACTGTGCATCCAGAAATGGGGTGAGAGGGTACCTGCAGCGTCATATTTTGAAGCAGAGGACCACTGAGTATACTATAGTATTTGTGGCAGCAAACAGTGTATGTGGGATTAGTGTTTTCATGTCACACAGCAATAGAGTTTTATGGTACAGAGAAATAAGATATATATAATAACATAAAAGGATTTGGACAGACTTGTTATTAAGATACTTTTATTGATTGTTCTGGTCTTTTCATGGGAATTGTGGATAAAAAAAAATATAGAATGTCACCAGACT